GCGGACGCCCGGCCTGCCAAAACCCAGCTCATCCAGGACCGGGCATCTTGCACTCTCTTACAGACGTCCGGCTTCGAGGCTCTCCGCTCCGGCTCCACGCATGGCAGGACTCGGGCAGCCATCTGTTTTTTATTATTAATGCATGAGCTACGCCATGTAAGCGTTCGGCTTGAGTTGAAGCTCCATCCCTCCGGCTCCCTAAAAGTTACTTGGGCTAGAACAAAACTCGCCAGGCCCTGGAATAACAGGATTAAGGAGATTAAAGACTCACACCTCTTGCACAATGCAACTTTCCAAGTGTTGCTAGAAAGAAAAATAACACCCAATACGTTCTCCCACTCTGGAAGTCAGTAATGTGGCTCTCGCGGCCCAGCTGCAGCTCCAGAAACATTGCTTTGCTCATGCCTTCCCCTGGGCCCCATCACACCCGGCGCTCACAGCTCTCGGGCTGTTTCCTAGCCCTCGCCTCTGGCCTGCAAGGAAAGCAGGAGCCTCAGCTCTTCCTCTAAAGCATCTGGCTGCCATCAGACAAAAAGCTGGTCCCGAATGGGACCTTGGGTCCAATTCAGCCAGGCAAGTCCTGGTGCTCTGGGACCCTGTGTCCCCTGCAAAGGGAGGAGGCAGAACTGCGAGAGTCACTTGAACTTTGCGTGCCTTGGTAAAAACGAGGCTGACAACGGCAGATCCTTTGGGTGCTGCCGGACAAAAGGCATCACAAACTCGCAGCCTCTCTTACGCAATGGCCTCGGGGAAAATAAATACAACTAAGTGTGTGTCCACCTACCCCAAGAAGGGAGCTTGCATTCACGTGGTTCCCCAGCACAAGGGTGCCAGTGTTGCTCGGGCAGAGAGACAACCTACGGGAACAAATATGGGACAGCCCCGAGGCTGAACCCACACACGGCTTCCCAGCAGGAGCAGCACAACCAGGAGCTGAAGCCCTCTGGAGAAGGCAGATGAGGAACCAGGCAGGTACGGGACAGGCACCGATCCTCCCCACATACAGCATTTCCCAAAGGAAGGAAAAGGGCTGGGAATCATCCCGGCTCAGCCTCACACGTGGCCCCAACACGTCTCCAGCAGAGCCCCGGACTGAACCCCAGCGTCCCAACACTCAGGCCACGACGTCTGCTTTACCCTCATCTTCACAACTCTACAACTCTGCACAATGGGTGAATTTACCCCCCTCAGCGCCTCTCCCTGGAGATGGACACAGTTCAAAACGCAGAAGAGTTTTACATTGCTTTAATTTAAAAGGGGGGGGGGGAAGTTTGTCATAACTTAAATACAAGCCAAATAAAAGCACAAAGATTTTCCTTTGGAATTTAACCAGCACATTAAACTCACATTACAAAGCATCTGCTCCTCCAACATCCGCAGCAAACATCTACAGATGTGGAAGGAGCTCTAACGCACAGGCCGAGGCACGGCACGGAAACGCGAGTCTCCCAGCACGTACTGCGTTGCAGGAGCGGACGCAGAGAGGTCAGTTCTTGCCAGGCTGGGCGAGCAGCATGCTTGGTCACCCTCTGTTACGAAGATCCAGGCTGTAGGGTGGGCAGCTCGCACGCTCCCCTCGACCACAGCAGTAGGTGAAATCACGGCCCTGGGGAAGATGAACTCTCCCTCCCATCCCTTACTTCAACTGGCAGGCGACAAACGCACTCCCCACGAAGCGCAGCACCTGCAAGCACCCTTGCAGAGGCATCTCTGCTGCTTATGGGAGGCTCATTCGCCTCCTGCCTGGCTCCGGACAGGTCCTGCTGCCACCTTGTCGGCTGAGGTCTCCCCAGAGCTACGGGCCTACACCCCTGCAGCAACAGGCCGCCTCTCCGTGGGGAGAATTACAGCACAGATTTATTAATTTATTCACTCAGAGAATTACATACTTGTGAGCAGGAGCAAGACGTGCAGATGCTGCATGTTGCATCTCTGGGAGCACCACAGATTTAGGTGCTTTAGACTTCCTTGGAAGTCTCTCAGACCCAGACGTCAGCTCCTGCTGAGAGCACGCCACAGCGCATCAGACAACTGCAGCTTTGGAAAGGGTTGGGTTTTTTGGTATTGTTTTTGTTTTCTTTCAAGATTAAAAAAAATCCTGTGTTGTCTGTGCTATAAATACATCTTTTGCCCAAGGCAGGGAAGAAGTTAAAATCACTGAGACAGACAGCTGGGAAGCAGAGTCCAGTTGATCTGTCCCCTGTCCTTATGGTGAGGATCCAAAATCTTCAGTGCCAGACTCAACAGCTGCACCCACCCAAGGCAGTGCCTCACCACCCTTCAGAAGCTCTTCCAGGCAACCGTTCTCCAAAACTCCCTTCTCTCCCAGGCCCACACATGCTTCACCCTGTTACCAAAGTGTTGTGGCCTCCCCTCACCTGCCTCCCAAAAGCCTCCAGCACCTCCATCCTTTCCTTCACCCATGGCATAGCCAGTCTAGAAGCTAGCATGGGACCTGTAGCTCGCTGGAGCGCTCAGATAACAGTACCCCTTTCCAAATCCAACGCTAACCACCCAATTGCTCAGTTTAGTCTTTGGTGGAAAACAATACTGCTGGGTCCAAGAAGTCTCAAAGAGCTAAATTCCTGAATGAGGGTTAGGGCACGATGGCAAAGCTTCGGATCGCAGCATCTTGACAAAAGCCTCTACCTGCAAGGAAGAGAGCACTTTCACAAAGCGTGACACTCGGATCACGTCGAGACAGCACATGCCAGTCATTAATCGGTTAACCCCTGAACAAGGGCTCTTCATAGAGCAGAAAGGTTTAACAGGCTCTGAGAGAAGGACCACATTATTTTCTTCATGGAAGTACTTAGAAGGGGTACATTTATATACTGTGGAAATACAACACGCCAGAGAGAGTCCAGCAGCTCCTCGCCAACACACAGCAATGTTACGGCTTCAGAAAGGTTTCCCACCAACCAGAGTTTCAGAGGAAATTAGGACAGGCAGGTTGTCACAGCCCTGCTGCGATCTGGCCAAGACTCAGAGGTTAGAATTATTCCCTGAGAGAAGTAACACAAGATCTTCTGTAATCCCAGATCACTGCTTTCCTACCATCCACCTCCAGCAACACCAGCTGCTGCAGTACCAGCCACAGGACCTTGAGAGGATCGTGATACCAAGAAGGATCCTACAGCATGAGACAGCTGGCTGCCCCCCTGCTGCTGGGTTTTTGAGAGCCCCCTGGGCTAGAGCTAAGCTAGCTCTGGCAGAGCAGTCACGACACTCCCTGCAGCTAAGAGGAAGAAGCTCAAGAGCAAGCCGGTCTGCTCTGCCTACCTTTGTCATGAGGACATCCTGTGCAGCTGCATCACGCTCGAAATCTCGATTGACATCAAGCACCAGCGTGGAAGCGCTCCTTAAGTTTGCGAAGTGGATCCTGAAGGTGGCAGGGAGAAAGAACCCAAAGGGCAGTGCCCATTAGCAAACAGTACGTAAAAAGGATGGCCATCCCCAGGGACAAGAGGAACAGCGTTGTGTTGCAAAAGCATGTCTGCTGTACGTTGTCAGAGAATAATTTAGCTGGGAAGGGACCTCTTGAGGTCTCTAGTCCAACCCCCCTCCTCCAAAAGCAGTGTTATTCACACGTTTCAAGGAGCCAAGCTTTGTGATGCACCCCGAGCTGTCCTTGCTCTCACTCACTCTGTAGTTTTCTCTACCAGCCAGCTCTCGTGCTGAGCATGAAGCTGCTGCAGATAATCCAGCTGGATTCCCTTCTCCTCAGACCTCGCCCTCCGGTGCAGCCTCTCCAGGCATTTCTACACAGGAAGCAACAAGACTCTAATTTAACAGGGGAAAAAAAGAGTGCATCACAAGCCAGTTGGGCAAACCAGCCCAAGAGGAGAAACCACGTGCAGCAATAACAGCCGTCAAAATTCAGCATCAGGCAGCTAACACCACCAGAGGCACACAGGGGCCCAAAGCTCTCCCTCCTAAAACTGAGGAGCGGCATGACGGGTATCTGGGCAACACATTAAGGCAGGTGAGAAGCTGCTCTGGGATCTACAGCAAAACCATCAACTTTGCCCTGGGATTAAGACCAGGCGCTGCTGTGGGCTCCTTGCTCCCAAGTCCTACAGGGCAGCAACTCGCACTAACGAGTGTTTCAGCACTGTCAGAAGCTGTCCTGGCTCCGGCTGGGGATGCAGCAGAGTCCAGCTTACAGGACACCCAGTGCGGCTCCTGGAGATCCGAGGTCTACCCTTGCAGCAAAGTGATGGCAAAGCAAGACGCTGGCCTAGTCCACTTCCCCTCCTCTCCCTCCCCAGTTAACACAGAAAGCAATTGGCTTTGGCAGCCCTCTCTTACCTCCGGAGTTGCCTGGAGATACAGGAAGCCATGCAGAGCAGCACGGTCCCCAAGCTCCTGCAGGAGGAAAGTGTGCCAGTCCTGGTAAATGGTCCACTCCAATGGATTCAAGTGGCCAGCCTCAAAGAGGTTTTTCGCAAAGACATACCTAGGAAGGGACAGAGGCAGGGGACAAGGTAATTCACACTCCACCGGGATGCTGCACCTAGTGGGACAGACAGCAACTGCTTGCAGTCACTACCAACACAGGCAAGTATGAACTAGCAATCGAGAACCGCAAGCCCTGAACCATCCCATGACGAATCAATGCCCAGGGAATTTCACTCTTATTTTCCTTTTCTGTCCCAACTGGCCTCAATAGTACGCACCAGGCGCCCCTCTGGAAGGGGTCTGGATATCTGTCACAGGCAAAACACTGAGCGGACAGGCCTTAGGAGCTTGCTCTGAAGATATATCTTGGCAGAGGAGAACATGGTTAAGGAAAGAAGCTCTCCCGCTGCAGGCAGTCCACCGAAACTGCCAAAGTCTAAAGGCTGTGCCGACATCACTTCGTCTGCAGTAGCAAGAGGTCCTTAAGGAGCCAACTGCCTAAGTAATCTCACTGCGTTTTTGACCCAGCATAGTGACAATTCCAGTTTCCTGAGCTCAGGAGAAACTTGAAGAGTCAATCTCAGCCAGGAGTAACAGTTCCACCCTTCCCTCCCCACCTCACAAGTTTCATCTCTACCCAAAGGCCCTGCTCACACTCCTCTCGCCTGACATTTGCGCTTTCAGAGCGCTCTGGGATAGTTTGCCCTTGCCCCTACAGCCACGTTGCAAGCGTGCCCCATTTCAAATGCTAACTTATGTCAAACAGCCCAACTCCCTCACAGCACGGGAGGTACCTTTCCAGAAGGACAAGCACCTCCTCCCTGATCCGCAGCTGAGAGCCACGGAGTATGAGGAAACAGGCTTCCAGTTCCCGTTTTCGCGTCAGCATCTCTCTGAACACTCATATCCTCCCTATCTGGCAGCACCCACACAGCACACCACCCAACTGCTTCCAGCTCCCACACGCAGCTTTAATCAAGCAGGCCAGGCTCATCCTTTTTGGCGCAACAATGCAAACAGCAAGTCAGGGTCCGCGGTTTTCTACAGGGTTTCCTACAAGCCATGCATGGAAATGGTGTGCACGTGTTTAACGTAAACCCTGCTATGCGTTATTCCACAGAACTGGCTGCTGCCACACTGCAAAGAAAATCCCACAGCAGCAGCGAGCCAGCATATGAGAAGCAGGAAATAAGAGCCACCGCACCAAGGAGCCAGGCCCTCAAGCCTCCCTACGCAGCCCGCTCACTCAAGCGCCTTTCACCCTTCAGAGCTGCGCTGCTCAACACAACCGCAACAAGTCTGTTTTCTGAGGGAGAACCACCTGCTCTGTCCAAGCTGCCAGCTTACACTGGGAACTGCACCAATGTCCTTGGATCCGTCCTCAATATATGCCTGAGCAACAGAGAAGACACAGTCGTCTGGGCACAGTTAACTGTTGCCAAGCTAAATGGAACAACCGTTATGTAGCCTGTGAGGCGTCGCCCAAAGGATTTTACAGAGCAGGTCCACGAGAGCAAGACCAATCCAGCTACTGCCTTCGCCCGACACGGGTCAGAAGCGAACGGCAAAGTGCAAAAACGGTTTTGAAGATCTGGGTGTTCCTGTTGCTTTCTCTAGTGTTCCTAGAGCACCAGTTATCAGTGGACCTACCAAGAGGAACACGTGCATTTCTTTAGTCAAGCATCGCTTCCAGTTCTGTGCCAAGTGGAGGCTGCAGGCTCGTTCTCTTACCTTCAACGTGCACATCTTGGGGCTGACTAGTTTCCAAGATGCCCATTTTTGCCTGAGTCACTGAATTCCTTTTACGTTTGCTGCTATCTGCTGCCATCAACATGAAGTTTACTGGGCACTTAATTCTCTTTTTTCTCTATTTTAATTAAAGACCTTCACGATCTCAAGATGCTGTGGCATTTCTCTGCACACCAACGGGCAGTACCATGGCTCACACGCTGCGGTAAAGGGCTTGGAACAGGGTTTCTGGGTACCGTACCTGTCGCTGTACACAGATCTCTCAAAAACCTGCACAGGCTCCGGGGTCTTCAACAGTCTCTCTGCAAGCGGCTCCAGCTGTGCCTTCAGTCGGCTCATGCAGGAGTATGTCTGGAACGTGTAGGACCATCGGGATGGCTCCTGGTATATCATCTGAAGCAGGTTACCAAAGCTCTGAGGAGAGGAAGCCTGTGAAAGAACGACAGAGGCACATTTAAGGCAAAACCCCAGCAGAGAGAGAGGGGCAGGAGGCAGATATTCCCAGTGCCGCACGAGGCTTTAACATCAGCATGGGAAAGGACAAACTATAACCATCAAAGCAGACTCTCTGCCTTGTCCAGACCACACAACTCCACTCAGGGTCTCCTGGAGAAAGCAAGCATCTATTATTCTAGCCACGTACCTGACAACAACATGCAGCCATTTTTACAGCTGTGAGTTACAACCTTTTTCAGCTTCAAAAAAGCACACAAAAGCAGAGGTGGCCACCTCTGCAAGCTTACCAATAAACTCCCCTTTCTTAGATATCTCTTGGGCACCCCTCAGAAATAGCCCCTGGATCTGCAGGTGCAGATGCGTCCGTATTTCCTGTGGATCAGCTACTGTTAGACTGGGTGACCAAGGTACTGAGAGCTACGTAGCCACAGCTACACGCAAAGCTGCACAGGTTGCAAATCCCATGCCAAGAGATCAGCTGCCCACACGAAAGGTTCACGCCGTTTTCCCAACCCCTTGCAGCTGGCTTTCACCCTTACCTCTTTTGTGCCAGTCGCCTGAACCTTTTGCCATTGCGCCACGGGTTCGGTCACCAAGTGCCACTCCGGGAATTTCCTTCCAAGGAGCTTTACGAACGTAGACTTCCCCACGGCTCAAGGAAAACACAAGAAGGGGAGTGAGAGCCTGGTCACGTGCTTGCAGAAGCACAGGCAGATCTCCCGAGTAACTGCAGACTTTCACTTGGCTGCTAAAGCGCAACCTCCTCATTTCAAAGTACCAGGGTTAAGTACCTGAGCAGACTTTTATTCATCTAACCTGTCAGGACCAACTAAACCATCTTTATCCGGACAAACGGAGAGCGCAGATTTTATTTGAATACATGCAACATAAGCGCCTGTAAATGCCTGCTCTGCTCCAAAGGGAACGCTTCCCAGAAGGACAAAGAGCCACCTCTCCTCCGAAGTGCAGTAATAGATCACACAGCGTTTATTAGCTGAACGTAAACAAACCCGACAGTTACACAGAGCCCTGCGTAACCAGTAACAGACTGGTGCGTTTTGTGACGCACCAGCGCGACGGCAGTATTAGCTTAAGTCCTCACCCCCCACCTCCCAGACACACCCCTGAGCCCCCATCACACCCCAACC